GCACAGTTCTCTTTTCTAATTTTACATACTCTAAATTCGTCATACATCGAAGAAAGGATGTTTTGCTGTTCTTTTTGTATTAATCGGTACTGAATCAAATTTGGCTTCGTAAATCAAAATACGCTGGAAAAGTAAACTATTTAAATGTTCGATATGGGCTGGGAAATTGTTTGAAATCGCGTGCATTGCCAACATAAACCTATTTGTGCGAAATTAGACGTTTCGGATAACAACCCGAAGGAAGTTGGCGATTAACTGTTACCTATGGGATTTACACGCAGTTACTTCATTGGCGCACAATAGATTATAAATATAACATTCTTATGCCATAGTATGTATGTTTGTATGTACAATATCAAACTAACAAAATAGGTATTCGGACTTGATAGATGTCTCTGATTATTCTGAATTGATTTCAGCGTTTTTTGTTTATAGTTACATACTATAAGAGATCTATGTTGCTTTTTTATTTCTCGAAGAAATTCCTATAGTTAGACTAGGATATTTATAATGATAAAATTGTCTCAATGAAAAATATCAATTTATTAAACTTGCAAAGTATCCTGCAATGTTTCATTTACAATTTTTCGGACCGTTTTTTAATTAATTTGTTTTATCGATATCGCTAGGAATGGATCGATTCATAGCATTTTTTAAAAATCTTTTGCGAATTCTGAGGATGTGGATGACAACCAGTAACTGCACGGTAGTGCTACATCAGCTAAGCAGATGCAGTTTTCGAAATGTATGTGTATTATGTAATAGATAATTCACAAGAAGAGTGATCGTATAGTTTTACAACTTTTAGATTTTTTACCACCTGATTTCGTACAAAATCATTTCTTATTCTCCGTAATATCCTTTTTCCATATTGTGTTGGAAATAAATATTCGTTCCGCCTTTGGGGAAATCGAAACACGTCCACGTAAATTATTTACATAAAATAGCCACGGAATCGTAATTATGCCGGCACGGAGAAAGAGGATAATATTAAAAACAGAAATCGGGGGGACCAAATAGCCCTTCATTATCATCCCCGATAAAATTAGTAATGCGAAATAATTACAACCGGCCCCGGTCGTTTATGGAGTTTGTTGATTATAAAGGAAGTGGTTCGGACTGATTTGCGAAATGGCCGGACAAAAGAAATTCGATACCTTAGTACTTTTTTAATTATTATTAACGAACGGCGGCATTTTTGGAACTTTCGTTTGAACGCCGCATTTTGTGTATGTTGGTTCTATTTCACTGATTTTTGTTTTCTGTTTCACTTTGATTAATTGAAATCGAGTCATCACTTAATATTAGATTCAGAGGTAAAATTACACGACCATTCTCTTTTCGAGCGTTTTTCTTGTACTAAATTATTTAATTATTATTTAATATACCACAAAATTTCATAATAATCGTAAGGTGTTTCGAAAAATCTTTGCAAATTTCTGGGGTCAACAAAACGTTAAAAAATAGCATTAGTTTGGTTAGGTGTCAGAAAACGCCTTCTTCAGAAGGTGTTACGAAAAATCGTTCTTTTATTATGATTTCTGAATAAAATTTAGGGACAAAGATACCTTTGATTCATTCTTGAAAGTTATTGTTAACAAAATTTGAGTTCACAGCAATTTAGTGACGCTCTTGTACAAAATATTACAATTTTGTCATCAATCACTTTTATTTGTGGTATAAATTTTATTTAGGTATTTTAAACCGTGTCATAATACTTAAATAATAAAATGGGCTTGTGTCATTTTCTGTAAAAACAAAGTCTAAAGTCAGGAAAGCTGTTTTGAGTGTTTAAGGTTAACATACGGGACTAATATGTGCTTCTTGGATATTATAATAACGGGAATGAATTCAATCTCTTGCAATCAATCAATCTTGCAATTTCGTAGTTTTACTCTACTGGGGTGTTAAGTATGATAAAATCTTAAATTATATACTCCCTATCTTATTTGTTTTGGTTGCGTTGTCTCATTGCCTCATCTCCCGTGTCGTCAATCGTAATACCAAAATAACGGGAGGTACACGGAGCGCAGCGGAGCCAGTGTTTAATAAACGAGTGACTCAACAAGTTTACCAAACGTGTTGCATACTATACTTTTTCTACGACCGTTAGTTTTTGGGTCCATTTTCACAAAACACGAGTACATTCACTGACATAACCGTCAGAATTGACAAACGTGAAAATTCAAGGCGTGGGAAATATCTCCGAAAACATCCGATTGCTCCCAAACCCGTGCGGTAAAATCCCGGAAATGTCCGAACTTGCTCGGATCCGTGGGAAACGAAACTGGCGTGCTAAAGTGACGTTCCCGCGCGCTAGGTCGGTGCGTAATTAGGTATTTTACAGACGAGAGTACAAAAAATATTTTTCTTGCTATCTGATATTTTGTTTCAGTATGTAAACGTTACGAAAAAACAACGGCAGTAATTTTCGATAAGCGTTACTTATCTATTCTTTAAACGTTATTTGTTGTCTATTTAAATTTAAATATTATTTTTCGACGACGACAAAAAATTAAATAATTATCTAAAAGTTGAGATTTATCAACCCATTAACCTCTAGTTACTTGGTTTTAATATCCGTATATTTGGGGGTACGTCCACTTTTTTACTTATTCATACTTTATTAATTTTTTAGTATGAATCTATTCTTTTTAACCCTATTAAAATAATAATATTGAAATTCTTGCTTTGTAAATATTTAAGTGGACATTAGGCATATTATTATAACCATTCTAAAAGTATCACAAATGAAAAGGCACGGAACTGAAAGATTAGCGTCAATTTTTAATAACTTATTAAAAGTTCGTTCGAATGCCTTGGATACTGTTGATTATCGATTTAGAAGAAAATGTTTTCCAACATTCGTTTCTACAGTTCTCAACAAAAGCTTTATCAACTGGTTAAAAATTGCGGGTTATATCAGAGTAAAATATTTTATAAATAATTTTCGGTCATCGAGATTGTCTCTTTAAGTGAAAACTTATTAAACTTTCTTTTACAATTTTCATAAATTTTCGTTGTTTCTTACTAAGGAATTTAACGGTTGGGATATATGTAACTAAAAGACTCTCAATATTCTAAAAATGATAATTTACTCGCTATTCGCTTTGTACCTAAGCTTTTGTATTTTTAAAAGTGATCTCGGTTACATAAAGATATTCATTTGGTCAATTTGAGTCTAAATTGCTTTTGCAAAATGTTTCCAAGTTTTGTGTATTTTCTGGCTTATTGTTCTAGGACTACAAATTGCAATTTTCTCATAATTTTCTATAATGCTACACCGTTTTATGCTCATGGGTTTAAAAATCTGCGTTTTCTGCTCTTGATGGCTGGAGAGCATAGGTAGTGTGTGCAGATAGAGGTTGACTTTTATCCTAATACACAACGGGCATTATAAAGTTTCAGTATTCTTGCTATTGAATTGTTTTCTTGACTAATATGTTCTTTACTACTAAGGAGGTGCGACTATATATAAAATCTCAAAATTGTTGTTTACTCGATATTACCCACTTGCGAAATCGAACATCAAGAGTTGATAATGGCTTCCAGTTCGATATGCAAAATATATTGCACAACATGCTCTATTGTTCCTTTAGCTAACGATAATGATCCGAGTACAATGAATGTATGTTTAATACATCTGGTAATGTTTATCTAAGACCGACCCTGATTTAAACAGATAAATGGAAGTTAAACAACGAGGGGGATGAGGATTATGATTACGCGGCGGGGTGATTATTGCTCGACATGCATTCTGCTGTGGTTTAATTTTCTGAAGGAAATTGTTTTACATTTTGGGATCGTGTCTGGGGCACTATTGTCAATCGTAGAGCGAAGTGATTAATCTCTTGCGCAATGTTTATTGTGTAAAACGCAAAAAGGAATTTCAAATTTAATGAAAACGCGAATAAAAATTAAATAGTAAGACTCACCTATTTTTATTTATTTACCATTAAAAGTGAGTGCTTCATTGGTTAAGCTTAACATTGAGATAGTATATATAGCTTTCGCATAATGGATTGTGGTACAAGCAGCTACTGGAGATTTTTCAGGCGACGAGCTTTGAGATAGAATTTTTGTTTCAGTCTTAAGCAGAGGAAGAAAATAATGCTTCTCGTATTGGCATTTCGACCTCATCCTTCTTTGTTTAATTTTAGCAAGTTGAAAAAACGATTCTATAGTGGTATTTAAATTTGTTTGGAAAGCATAAGGTCTTGGTTTGAAACGACCTGGATCTATTTGCTCATATTGGGGTTGACTTGAAATCTTCAGTTGGTACACTGACAGCCACTTTTAATTGACCCTTTAGTTTCCTTTATGTGTAAGAGTTAGAATCGTGATTTTTCAATCCGGATTGTAATTATTATTGACAGTACGAAACTGAACCTTGCACTGTTTGAGCGCATCCTATAGCCTAATGTAATTAGTTATTGGGTACCACAGTTAGTTTCGAAAATCAAATAAATCACAAAATGCAAAATGATTAAAAGAAAATAATATTAGGGTTTTTTTTGTGCCGCCGATATTCGTCGACGAAGCCAATAAAAATGCCGTCAGCAGGGTCCGTTCAGTAAACGCAATAACAAAACGAAACGATCGCAGAAAGAAACAAAATAAAAATGTTTAAAATCGAGCCGGAAAAATAATATCAAAATATGTTCCTCATATTAGGCCGCGTTCCGCCGCCCTCGTCCCTCAGACCCACCAAAAGTAATATTAAATTTTTATAAGAAGGGAAAAAAGAAATAGAAAACTCTTTTCCGAGTAATATAGGTTTATGGCTTCCATCTGTGAGATTACGTTAAAAGAAAGTGGACTTTTCTGGATGTGCGCGAGAGAAAGAATAAGGCGAGGACGAAGTAGGGGAGTAGTGAATAAGTACAATATAGGCTTCCCCCACTCCTCTCCCTTTTGTGGGCGTGTCCTCCTTCCCCACGACTCTCTAGCTCCTCCCCCTTTACCCATAATCCCTTGAAACTGGCTCCCATTGGATAAGCAAGCACCAATGGGGTTTAATCAATCTCCCCACCTCTAGTTTGCGATGGCGGCGAAGCCAATCAGAGCCCAGATATTTTCCCACCCTTAAGAAAAGCAATGCCGTCAATGAGACTTGATCATATTGTTCGCGTGACCATCTGCACCCTCTAGCGGTTCGAATGTAAACTAGTGTCCCCTCTTGGAATAAGATTTTCTTTAATAAGGTAACCCCACCTAGTGAATATTGACCAAAACATTTATTTTAAAAACATATACTTCTGCGAATGTGTACCCTCGCGGGTACAAACTGTACTTTTATTGCGCACAAAGGACAGGGGAAATAAAGACGAAAAGTGTTGGATTTCTTTTCTCGGAACTGGAAGCTGGCAGGCACCACCAATAATATCTGCAAAACAAAAACCTGGTTAAAATTTTCATTAATAAAGTAGGATATTAGAAACCATATACCTTTTTAATTAATAAGCCATCTACCGTGCGTTAACTTCATACATATTTCCGCATGCTTCTGTTTTAAGGTATCGTGAAATATTTGACTATTTATCTGGGAAAAGTTCATATGTCGAAAATATTATGTGTATGTGGCCGTGGTAGGCTTTCTTTGCTATTATAATTTTATTTTTATTATTTAATATTTACAAAATTAATTTATCTATCTTATTGATGATTTTGATTTTCTTTGCTATTTTATTATTTGTTTTTATTATTTAATATTTTCAAAATTAATTTATCTATCTTATTGATGATTTTCAGATATCGCAGTCAACTTTACTATTTCATCAATTTCTTTTATTTATTGCTGATCTTTGAGAATAGTGTACATACTTTTTTTCGTAACTTATCTGTATCTACCCTTTAATTTCCTATCAAGCCATAAAGCAAACTCGAAAGGCATCTTAACTAAAAACTCATATACTTTAAAGCTGCTGCTACTACTACATAAAAGTGTGTTTCTATGCCAATCTCAACAACAATGAAATCTGGACGCTTATACTAATTACTGTAATACTCTTCTCTGCTAACGCTCTAGGAGACGCTATTTGAACCCTGTTCAAAGAAAAACTTCTACAGCCCAAATAACCTCTCTGAACCACACTTAAGCGCATCACTCTTTCACTGTCTTGAAGCCTTCAGATTAATATTCCGTACTAACTACGTATGCCATACACGAAACGTTCTCTTTTCTAATTTTTTTCTATGCGCTACATTAACGAACAGGATCTAAACTTTTCTGTCTGTGTATTTTGTTAGCCACCTTAAAAAAATTAAAAAAAGGTATGCGAACCTAGAGGATATTTTCCATATTTTTCACAAATGGTGACAACAATTAATGCAAGTATTATTTTTAATAATAACCCATCTTTCGCTATGACACGAAAACATCGACTTTTTAATTCTAACTTTTCTCATAGAGCTTCCCTTTAGTCTCTATCTGTTCTCTAACTAAATCCCCACCTTTTTGAAAAACCAACCTCTAAAAATAGTTAATTTTCTCTAATTTAAATTTGTACGTTTTCCGCAATATGTGTGAATATTTTCGCTAGAACATTTAGTTACTTAGTACATGTCCTAATCAATATTTTAAAAATATAATTCTAATGATACGTGTTTACGATTTGAAGATAACGAAACATTCCCCAGTTTCATAAATGAGAGCTCACTGCCAAACTACCAAACATCACAGTACAAACTACCGTACTACGCCCCCCTGGACAAAATCAGGTCAGTTAGCGTCATTAATTCTACCTGCGTTAACGAATAACGTATTGTTAATTAAGGTTTAATACGTAGAAAATTTAAGTAACAAATAATTGCAATGAAACTCACTAACATCATAAATTATTAAAAAAAAATTAGAACAGTTGGAATTTACTGGAGTAACCAATTTGGCACTAAAAATGGAAATTTTCGATACTCTACTAGGTGCCTACAATAAATTTTACTATTATTTTTAATGCAGAGACACAACGATTTTCTAGTTCTGAATTTGATCAGGGGTATATGACCATAGTTTACGCCGACTCTAAAAGGCATGCAGTCTATTGTTTTTGAACGCCCCATTTTGTGTATTATGTTCAAAACAGAGACTCTCTGGGCTTATGACTACAGCTACCAGCTACTACTTTCAATAATATTAACACAAAAAAAAGTAGGTGGGATTTCTATAATACGTGCAAAGTTTATGTGAAACTGACTGGAAGACAGAGTAATGCACCAATATGTTACTAAACATATTTCGATAGAATTCCGTAAGAGCTTACCTCCAAGTTTCCTCATTTAGTCAGTCAAAGCATCAAATGGGAAATTCCAATCCAACATATGTAGTGGTGGAAATATATCAATCGCCTACGTTACCGACGGTACCCGAGTGAAGCTTCTGCGTCTTCTTTACCCCACATGCCTACTTAAAAGATACTGGTCTAAGTCTCAATATTCCTGTTAAAAAAAGAGAGGTTCTATATTGCCATAACTATGTGTTTTCAAAATTTTACCTGAATGGTTCGTGATTCCTTATATATGCAGTGTTGGCAGCAATGTGGCGACGACTACGCTGAAACTTTCCATATCTCGTGTCCCCATGACTGGTCTGTTTCATATATCAAACCTCACCTCGCACGGGTTTGAACCTCCTTTAAAAAAAAAAAACAGGCAAGACTTATACTTATATCAAAGTAATACGAGGAACTTATATTTTATGCCAAAACTTATTTCATCACCTCCAAAGGGGAGTAGGGGTTTCTAAAGTATGGTAGGTACATCTCTTTCATTTTTTAATTAAAAAAGTGACACAATTACGCGACGTAACTCGATCCGGATCGTTAACGCGTCTCAAGATGGGGGTTTAGAGATGCTGAGGTCATTAAATTGATTCACTATTACCAGTACACACTGAAACCCCTTATTTCCAAAATAAAAAAATTGTTAACTGTTAACACAACAAAAAAAACTATTTTCTCACCAATTATATTTCTGGGTCGTTTTCAGAATTTGTCCAACGTAGAATCCCAAGAGGATAGGGCCGCATTTTCGAAAAATGTTCATGTCTCCCCACTATGCATTTGTACAAGAAGCAGGGCCGGATTAACAGCAATTATATTCTTGTCAGTCAACATACAGCCGCCGATTGAATTCTCGGATTCTGCTTTACTAGTTGCCATGGTCTGTCAAATATGTTACTTAAAAATTGTATATTTTTTTTTTACAAATAATATACCTTTCCTAAAATAATTCCGCCTTTGTCAAGTGGGACACGGGCATGTCTGTCCGCTTTGAAAAGCGCAGGCGTATGTATCTTCCAAAATGATCCAAGCAGGCCCGGATTGCCAGCAAATACACAACTCCCCGATTCAATTCTGAGATGTTGCTTCACGAGTTACCATGATCTGTCAAATATTTTAATTAAAAAAAAATCTATTATTTAGCAACAATATACCTTTTTAAAATAATTTCGTCTTTTTTCAAGTTCAACAGGACACGTGTGTTCGTTTCAGTTGGACAAGGGCACGTCTGTCCGCTTTGAAAAGCGCGGCGTATGTATCTTCCAAAATGATCCAAGCAGGCCCGGATTGCCAGCAAATACACAACTCCCCGATTCAATTCTGAGATGTTGCTTCACGAGTTACCATGATCTGTCAAATATTTTAATTAAAAAAAAATCTATTATTTAGCAACAATATACCTTTTTAAAATAATTTCGTCTTTTTTCAAGTTCAACAGGACACGTGTGTTCGTTTCAGTTGGACAAGGGCACGTCTGTCCGCTTTGAAAAGCGCGGCGTATGTATCTTCCAAAATGATCCAAATTGTTAACCTTTTTTTGATTCCTCGTTCCCCGATTCAATTCTGAGATGTTGCTTCACGAGTTACCATGATCTGTCAAATATTTTAATTAAAAAAAAATCTATTATTTAGCAACAATATACCTTTTTAAAAATAATTTCGTCTTTTTTCAAGTTCAACAGGACACGTGTGTTCGTTTCGAAAGGTTTCGTAGTCTGTAGCTCTGTCGAATTCTCCAAAATTCGTTAAACCTTCAGATATTTTCAAAATTTGTCCAACGCAGACTTCCACTCACGCAGTTTCGAAAACTTTCTGGTCTCCCCGCCATGCATTTGTACACGAAGCCGTTCTGGACTATCAGCAAACAGCACATCCGTCATTTTTCTTCTCGGATTCCGCTTGACGAGTTACATCGATCTGTCAAATATTTAATGTAAAACAATCTTATCTATTACTTTTACCCAATATTAAGTACCTATTCAAAATTAGTAGCGCCTTTTCGAGTTCGAAAGGTTTCGTAGCCTATAGCCCTGCCGAAATGGCATTGCATTTGTACACGAAGCAGGGTCGGATTGTAAGCAAACAGCACCCCGGTCACTTTTCTTCTCGGATTCTGCTTGACGAGTTACATCGATCTGTGGAATATTTAGCGTAAAAAAAATTATCTATTACTTTTACCAAAAATGAAGTACCTATTCAAAATTAGTAGCGCCTTTTCGAGTTCGAAAGGTTTCGTAGCCTATAGCCCTGCCGAAATGGCATTGCATTTGTACACGAAGCAGGGTCGGATTGTAAGCAAACAGCACCCCCGGTCACTTTTCTTCTCGGATTCTGCTTGACGAGTTACATCGATCTGTGGAATATTTAGCGAAAAAAAAAAATTATCTATTACTTTTACCAAAAATGAAGTACCTTTTTTCTTTAAAACAGTTCGTCCTTTTCGAGTTTGAAAGGTTTCGTAGCCTATAGCCCTGCCGAAATGTCATTGCATTTGTACACGAAGCAGGGTCGGATTGTCAGCAAACACCACAAGCGTCACTTTTCTTCTCGGTTTCTGCTTGACGAATTACATTGATCGGTCAAATATTTAATATAAAAAATATCTATTTTACCAAAAATACGTACTCTTCTAAGATAAATTAGCTCTTTTCGAGTTTAAGAGGACACGTATGTCAACTGTAGGATGTTTTATTTTTATATTTTCCAGTGTCTATAAATTAATAAACAACAGAAGCTTCCGAATACAAAAATTTCAACATGAGTTTTTTTTTCTTGAAACTTAAAAGTTCTAACCCCTAAAACCATATTTTTAATACGCTGGCGGACGTATAACAATCCCCAAAAATTACCATATTTAAATTGTTACTATTGACATATTTCTATTCCGAACTGAACTCAATACATGCAAAAAAAAAAACTAGCGAATGTTATTTATTATCTCCGATGGGTGGATGATTGAGAAACGTTTAAATAAATCTACCTTTCTGTCTCTGTTTTTCTATATAGGTCACTCATTCTCTCTATCTGTTACTTTCCACAATCCGAATTTACACTAGGCCCCCCAAAAATCTTGTAAAATTTTATCTGCTTAACTTCTTCGCGTTGTTCATATGGCTGAATTTTTTGGGAGATATATCGTGCGTTATTTGTATTAAAATTCTGTTTCCTTTTTACCTACTTCAAAAACGTAAGCGAGCATTTTTGGTTGTTTTATTAAACAAAAATTGATACTAAACAAGATCCGTCTCTCCGACCTCAGCCTCCTTTGATCACTCCCCAATTTTTTTTAATTAAGTATAGAAACCTCGTCGAACATATACATAATACTAGGTCAAAATGTTACGCGGTTACTCATTAAAGTCGCAATTCCGAAAGCTTCTTACCTATCTTTTTCCAGTCTTTTTTGTTTTATTTATCCGTATATGAAACACACATTGAACACAAAACTTAAACTCGTTGACGATATTGCATTAAGCAACAAACGCGTATAACAGAAACGAACCCTTAACACAAACGCTTCTTTAAACTTCGACTGACACGTGAAACAACCCGCATTCCTACGAAAGGCAGGTAAACCAAGCAGGTCAAATTTTAAGCTACCCTCCAGTGTCGTCATAGGTTGGGGCATAGTAAATAGCGAATACAACAAAGCGGTAATTTATAATAATTTAATGTGCATTTTATTTAACTTAAGTTGTTTTGTAGAAAATGAGATATTTCTACAATTAATCAATATACTACGAGTACTTTTCCGCTTAATTACTATTTTTGAGAAACAAAAGGAAACGTTAGATTCCATTCAAACTTTTTCGGTTTTCATGATATCTCGCGTTTATTTAGAAGCTAATGGCCTGTGGCCTTAACCAGACGTTTCCAAAGCCTGGTTCTTAACAAACACGAAAAATAGAGTTATATTGCCACCGAAAATCTGAATTTATGTTTAAAAATGTAACTTCCCGTATTTAAACTATTGCCTGCATTGGCGCCTATATTTTATAGTTTTTTTTTATCCTATTTTTTTTGTTTTGCTTGCAAATGTGTGTCCATTTTTCGGGTACTGGATTTTTTTTTCTCAAATTATTACAAATTACTCAAAACGGAGTTAAAAAGAGACGAGGAGAAAAGGGAAGAAGAACCCTTATTTCTCCGACACTGACCTCCGATGTTTATAAAAATTGACGCCTTGACACCCTCCCCGTGAATATTTTACAAAGGATTTTTAAAATTTAACTTCCAAATAACGCATACTCTCGCCTAGTGTCACAGTTTTGGGCCCCATTTTGCTATGGTTAGACAGGTTTATTCTTGTACATTGTCGGGACAAAAGAAGCATCTCCTTCATCCAAATTGACTTTTTCATACCTAATACAACAGCTGCCGGGCATCATCTCGCCTTAATTGTTTCTATTGAATTAATTTTAGTTACAAAAAATTAGATGATCGTCAAAATTGGCATAAAAAGATAATCAAGATTTAATTAAAACAAGAATATGCACAAAAGAAAAGAGATAAACTCCGACACGGGAAACAAGGAAATATCGCTGAAACGGCAACTGATCTAGCGCGCGCCTTTTTTAAAAATAATAATTTTTTCAAAAGAATTCTAGGCTAAGCTAAATACCTGGTGCAACAAAATATTGAAGGATCTTCATGATCCTACCTGTGAGCGAGTAGAAAATTATTTGCAAAGAGGATAAAGGTATATCTTAATATAAATAGTTTCACTATTGTTAATATGTCCCCTTTTAAAATGGCGCATTATTTGATACGTACTTTTTTTTCTTGTCAGAGCTTGTCTAAAACAAAAGCGGGATGGATGGAGGTTCTCCGTCAGGTTTTTTTCCTGTCGAAACAAGTTTGTGCGGCGTTCGCTTTGGATCTGGGGAATGGGTGGGGTTATACATATATAAGCTATAAGAAATTTTAATTTTTTATTCAGTTTCCACTCATACAATTTCGTGATAAGTGCAGAGTGAGAAAAATGTCCGAAGTCGAAAATTATCCAACGCAAGCATTGGATTCGTGGGGAAGATTTGTGGTCAATGCGGAAATAATCCGCGAACAAAAATACATTTACGAGGTAGCAATTACGCTGCCGGAATTCGGACTAGAAATTACCTCAGGTCTTAGCCCCGCAAGAATCTTCGCTCCGGCAGTGAAAGTGAGCTTTCTCCCCTACGTTTTGTCGGAGAAAAGAAGCATTTCGTTCGACGAGATAGACTTCACAGAATTAATACAACAGCTTCCACTGTTATTGTTAGCAGGTCCGACTGGTAAAGTTATGTATTTAACCTGCTTCAAACTCAGCTGTCTACAATGTGATGGTGAAGTCTTGGTCAAGATTGAAAATAACGAGGGTATACTCTATATTTCGAAAGACTGGGTACAGGAATTAATTACCATAAGCAAATTGGTATTTAAAAGAATACGAGTACTGTCTCGTTTGAACTTTTACGAGTACTACGATAGAATATTGTATTTGACTATACATGAAAATTTGCTGGAAGACGCCAAAATCTTTCCGCATATAGAATATTTATGTTCTACAGAAGAGAGTGAGCAGAGCTACTGCATGGAGGACTACATGCGTTTTGGAAAAATGCAGATAAAACAAGATATCAACAAAAGGATAGCATGGGACATACCTGTGTTTTAATAGAAATTTACCTGTAAACTAATAATAATAAATGTTTTTTTAAAATTCAGTGTGTGTGTATGTTTTATCCTTACCCCCATAATAAATAGTAAAAAAAAATAACTTTATTAAAGAAAAAAAAAATAACAACAAAATATAATCAAACAAAACATAGTACCACTGGAATGAAACCTTCAGAAATTACCCCAACAACGGAGATTCTCGCACATAATTTACCAAAAAAAAAAAATTTGCAGTGGAAAAGTCAAAGTTCAAAGCTGGCGATGCAGTGAGCATAATTCGCACAAAATCGGTTTTTGACAAAAGCTATGAAATTAATTGGACACCCCCGAAAATTTCAAGATTGTTAAAGTAAGTGGTTCCTTCCCTCTTACGTATATTTTGGAAGATATGGAGGGGCGTTAAATCAAAGCTTCGTTTTATGAAGTCGATTTACAAAAACCGTACTACCAAATATTATGCTCACTGCATCGCCAGCTTTGAACTTTGACTTTTCCACTGCAAATTTTTTTTTTTTGGTAAATTATGTGCGAGAATCTCCGTTGTTGGGGTAATTTCTGAAGGTTTCATTCCAGTGGTACTATGTTTTGTTTGATTATATTTTGTTGTTATTTTTTTTTTCTTTAATAAAGTTATTTTTTTTTACTATTTATTATGGGGGTAAGGATAAAACATACACACACACTGAATTTTAAAAAAACATTTATTATTATTAGTTTACAGGTAAATTTCTATTAAAACACAGGTATGTCCCATGCTATCCTTTTGTTGATATCTTGTTTTATCTGCATTTTTCCAAAACGCATGTAGTCCTCCATGCAGTAGCTCTGCTCACTCTCTTCTGTAGAACATAAATATTCTATATGCGGAAAGATTTTGGCGTCTTCCAGCAAATTTTCATGTATAGTCAAATACAATATTCTATCGTAGTACTCGTAAAAGTTCAAACGAGACAGTACTCGTATTCTTTTAAATACCAATTTGCTTATGGTAATTAATTCCTGTACCCAGTCTTTCGAAATATAGAGTATACCCTCGTTATTTTCAATCTTGACCAAGACTTCACCATCACATTGTAGACAGCTGAGTTTGAAGCAGGTTAAATACATAACTTTACCAGTCGGACCTGCTAACAATAACAGTGGAAGCTGTTGTATTAATTCTGTGAAGTCTATCTCGTCGAACGAAATGCTTCTTTTCTCCGACAAAACGTAGGGGAGAAAGCTCACTTTCACTGCCGGAGCGAAGATTCTTGCGGGGCTAAGACCTGAGGTAATTTCTAGTCCGAATTCCGGCAGCGTAATTGCTACCTCGTAAATGTATTTTTGTTCGCGGATTATTTCCGCATTGACCACAAATCTTCCCCACGAATCCAATGCTTGCGTTGGATAATTTTCGACTTCGGACATTTTTCTCACTCTGCACTTATCACGAAATTGTATGAGTGGAAACTGAATAAAAAATTAAAATTTCTTATAGCTTATATATGTATAACCCCACCCATTCCCCAGATCCAAAGCGAACGCCGCACAAACTTGTTTCGACAGGAAAAAAACCTGACGGAGAACCTCCATCCATCCCGCTTTTGTTTTAGACAAGCTCTGACAAGAAAAAAAAGTACGTATCAAATAATGCGCCATTTTAAAAGGGGACATATTAACAATAGTGAAACTATTTATATTAAGATATACCTTTATCCTCTTTGCAAATAATTTTCTACTCGCTCACAGGTAGGATCATGAAGATCCTTCAATATTTTGTTGCACCAGGTATTTAGCTTAGCCTAGAATTCTTTTGAAAAAATTATTATTTTTAAAAAAGGCGCGCGCTAGATCAGTTGCCGTTTCAGCGATATTTCCTTGTTTCCCGTGTCGGAGTTTATCTCTTTTCTTTTGTGCATATTCTTGTTTTAATTAAATCTTGATTATCTTTTTATGCCAATTTTGACGATCATCTAATTTTTTGTAACTAAAATTAATTCAATAGAAACAATTAAGGCGAGATGATGCCCGGCAGCTGTTGTATTAGGTATGAAAAAGTCAATTTGGATGAAGGAGATGCTTCTTTTGTCCCGACAATGTACAAGAATAAACCTGTCTAACCATAGCAAAATGGGGCCCAAAACTGTGACACTAGGCGAGAGTATGCGTTATTTGGAAGTTAAATTTTAAAAATCCTTTGTAAAATATTCACGGGGGGGGTGTCAAGGCGTCAATTTTTATAAACATCGGAGGTCAGTGTCGGAGAAATAAGGGTTCTTCTTCCCTTTTCTCCTCGTCTCTTTTTAACTCCGTTTTGAGTAATTTGTAATAATTTGAGAAAAAAAAATCCAGTACCCGAAAAATGGACACACATTTGCAAGCAAAACAAAAAAAATAGGATAAAAAAAAACTATAAAATATAGGCGCCAATGCAGGCAATAGTTTAAATACGGGAAGTTACATTTTTAAACATAAATTCAGATTTTCGGTGGCAATATAACTCTATTTTTCGTGTTTGTTAAGAACCAGGCTTTGGAAACGTCTGGTTAAGGCCACAGGCCATTAGCTTCTAAATAAACGCGAGATATCATGAAAACCGAAAAAGTTTGAATGGAATCTAACGTTTCCTTTTGTTTCTCAAAAATAGTAATTAAGCGGCAAAGTACTCGTAGTATATTGATTAATTGTAGAAATATCTCATTTTCTACAAAACAACTTAAGTTAAATAAAATGCACATTAAATTATTATAAATTACCGCTTTGTTGTATTCGCTATTTACTATGCCCCAACCTATGACGACACTGGAGGGTAGCTTAAAATTTGACCTGCTTGGTTTACCTGCCTTTCGTAGGAATGCGGGTTGTTTCACGTGTCAGTCGAAGTTTAAAGAAGCGTTTGTGTTAAGGGTTCGTTTCTGTTATACGCGTTTGTTGCTTAATGCAATATCGTCAACGAGTTTAAGTTTTGTGTTCAATGTGTGTTTCATATACGGATAAATAAAACAAAAAAGACTGGAAAAAGATAGGTAAGAAGCTTTCGGAATTGCGACTTTAATGAGTAACCGCGTAACATTTTGACCTAGTATTATGTATATGTTCGACGAGGTTTCTATACTTAATTAAAAAAAATTGGGGAGTGATCAAAGGAGGCTGAGGTCGGAGAGACGGATCTTGTTTAGTATCAATTTTTGTTTAATAAAACAACCAAAAATGCTCGCTTACGTTTTTGAAGTAGGTAAAAAGGAAACAGAATTTTAATACAAATAACGCACGATATATCTCCCAAAAAATTCAGCCATATGAACAACGCGAAGAAGTTAAGCAGATAAAATTTTACAAGATTTTTGGGGGGCCTAGTGTAAATTCGGATTGTGGAAAGTAACAGATAGAGAGAATGAGTGACCTATATAGAAAAACAGAGACAGAAAGGTAGATTTATTTAAACGTTTCTCAATCATCCACCCATCGGAGATAATAAATAACATTCGCTAGTTTTTTTTTTGCATGTATTGAGTTCAGTTCGGAATAGAAATATGTCAATAGTAACAATTTAAATATGGTAATTTTTGGGGATTGTTATACGTCCGCCAGCGTATTAAAAATATGGTTTTAGGGGTTAGAACTTTTAAGTTTCAAGAAAAAAAAACTCATGTTGAAATTTTTGTATTCGGAAGCTTCTGTTGTTTATTAATTTATAGACACTGGAAAATATAAAAATAAAACATCCTACAGTTGACATACGTGTCCTCTTAAACTCGAAAAGAGCTAATTTATCTTAGAAGAGTACGTATTTTTGGTAAAATAGATATTTTTTATATTAAATATTTGACCGATCAATGTAATTCGTCAAGCAGAAACCGAGAAGAAAAGTGACGCTTGTGGTGTTTGCTGACAATCCGACCCTGCTTCGTGTACAAATGCAATGACATTTCGGCAGGGCTATAGGCTACGAAACCTTTCAAACTCGAAAAGGACGAACTGTTTTAAAGAAAAAAGGTACTTCATTTTTGGTAAAAGTAATAGATAATTTTTTTTTTCGCTAAATATTCCACAGATCGATGTAACTCGTCAAGCAGAATCCGAGAAGAAAAGTGACCGGGGGTGCTGTTTGCTTACAATCCGACCCTGCTTCGTGTACAAATGCAATGCCATTTCGGCAGGGCTATAGGCTACGAAACCTTTCGAACTCGAAAAGGCGCTACTAATTTTGAATAGGTACTTCATTTTTGGTAAAAGTAATAGATAATTTTTTTTACGCTAAATATTCCACAGATCGATGTAACTCGTCAAGCAGAATCCGAGAAGAAAAGTGACCGGGGTGCTGTTTGCTTACAATCCGACCCTGCTTCGTGTACAAATGCAATGCCATTTCGGCAGGGCTATAGGCTACGAAACCTTTCGAACTCGAAAAGGCGCTACTAATTTTGAATAGGTACTTAATATTGGGTAAAAGTAATAGATAAGATTGTTTTACATTAAATATTTGACAGATCGATGTAACTTGTCAAGCGGAATCCGAGAAGAAAAATGACGGATGTGCTGTTTGCTGATAGTCCAGAACGGCTTCGTGTACAAATGCATGGCGGGGAGACCAGAAAGTTTTCGAAACTGCGTGAGTGGAAGTCTGCGTTGGACAAATTTTGAAAATATCTGAAGGTTTAACGAATTTTGGAGAATTCGACAGAGCTACAGATTACGAAACCTTTCGAAACGAACACACGTGTCCTGTTGAACTTGAAAAAAGACGAAATTATTTTTAAAAAGGTATATTGTTGCTAAATAATAGATTTTTTTTTAATTAAAATATTTGACAGATCATGGTAACTCGTGAAGCAACATCTCAGAATTGAATCGGGGAACGAGGAATCAAAAAAAGGTTAACAATTTGGATCATTTTGGAAGATACATACGCCGCGCTTTTCAAAGCGGACAGACGTGCCCTTGTCCAACTGAAACGAACACACGTGTCCTGTTGAACTTGAAAAAAGACGAAATTATTTTAAAAAGGTATATTGTTGCTAAATAATAGATTTTTTTTTAATTAAAATATTTGACAGATCATGGTAACTCGTGAAGCAACATCTCAGAATTGAATCGGGGAGTTGTGTATTTGCTGGCAATCCGGGCCTGCTTGGATCATTTTGGAAGATACATACGCCGCGCTTTTCAAAGCGGACAGACGTGCCCTTGTCCAACTGAAACGAACACACGTGTCCTGTTGAACTTGAAAAAAGACGAAATTATTTTAAAAAGGTATATTGTTGCTAAATAATAGATTTTTTTTTAATTAAAATATTTGACAGATCATGGTAACTCCTGAAGCAACATCTCAGAATTGAATCGGGGAGTTGTGTATTTGCTGGCAATCCGGGCCTGCTTGGATCATTTTGGAAGATACATACGCCTGCGCTTTTCAAAGCGGACAGACGTGCCCGTGTCCCACTTGACAAAGGCGGAATTATTTTAGGAAAGGTATATTATTTGTAAAAAAAAAATATACAATTTTTAAGTAACATATTTGACAGACCATGGCAACTAGTAAAGCAGAATCCGAGAATTCAATCGGCGGCTGTATGTTGACTGACAAGAATATAATTGCTGTTAATCCGGCCCTGCTTCTTGTACAAATGCATAGTGGGGAGACATGAACATTTTTCGAAAATGCGGCCCTATCCTCTTGGGATTCTACGTTGGACAAATTCTGAAAACGACCCAGAAATATAATTGGTGAGAAAATAGTTTTTTTTGTTGTGTTAACAGTTAACAATTTTTTTATTTTGGAAATAAGGGGTTTCAGTGTGTACTGGTAATAGTGAATCAATTTAATGACCTCAGCATCTCTAAACCCCCATCTTGAGACGCGTTAACGATCCGGATCGAGTTACGTCGCGTAATTGTGTCACTTTTTTAATTAAAAAATGAAAGAGATGTACCTACCATACTTTAGAAACCCCTACTCCCCTTTGGAGGTGATGAAATAAGTTTTGGCATAAAATATAAGTTCCTCGTATTACTTTGATATAAGTATAAGTCTTGCCTGTTTTTTTTTTTTAAAGGAGGTTCAAACCCGTGCGAGGTGAGGTTTGATATATGAAACAGACCAGTCATGGGGACACGAGATATGGAAAGTTTCAGCGTAGTCGTCGCCACATTGCTGCCAACACTGCATATATAAGGAATCACGAACCATTCAGGTAAAATTTTGAAAACACATAGTTATGGCAATATAGAACCTCTCTTTTTTTAACAGGAATATTGAGACTTAGACCAGTATCTTTTAAGTAGGCATGTGGGGTAAAGAAGACGCAGAAGCTTCACTCGGGTACCGTCGGTAACGTAGGCGATTGATATATTTCCACCACTACATATGTTGGATTGGAATTTCCCATTTGATGCTTTGACTGACTAAATGAGGAAACTTGGAGGTAAGCTCTTACGGAATTCTATCGAAATATGTTTAGTAACATATTGGTGCATTACTCTGTCTTCCAGTCAGTTTCACATAAACTTTGCACGTATTATAGAAATCCCACCTACTTTTTTTTGTGTTAATATTATTGAAAGTAGTAGCTGGTAGCTGTAGTCATAAGCCCAGAGAGTCTCTGTTTTGAACATAATACACAAAATGGGGCGTTCAAAAACAATAGACTGCATGCCTTTTAGAGTCGGCGTAAACTATGGTCATATACCCCTGATCAAATTCAGAACTAGAAAATCGTTGTGTCTCTGCATTAAAAATAATAGTAAAATTTATTGTAGGCACCTAGTAGAGTATCGAAAATTTCCATTTTTAGTGCCAAATTGGTTACTCCAGTAAATTCCAACTGTTCTAATTTTTTTTTAATAATTTATGATGTTAGTGAGTTTCATTGCAATTATTTGTTACTTAAATTTTCTACGTATTAAACCTTAATTAACAATACGTTATTCGTTAACGCAGGTAGAATTAATGACGCTAACTGACCTGATTTTGTCCAGGGGGGCGTAGTACGGTAGTTTGTACTGTGATGTTTGGTAGTTTGGCAGTGAGCTCTCATTTATGAAACTGGGGAATGTTTCGTTATCTTCAAATCGTAAACACGTATCATTAGAATTATATTTTTAAAATATTGATTAGGACATGTACTAAGTAACTAAATGTTCTAGCGAAAATATTCACACATATTGCGGAAAACGTACAAATTTAAATTAGAGAAAATTAACTATTTTTAGAGGTTGGTTTTTCAAAAAGGTGGGGATTTAGTTAGAGAACAGATAGAGACTAAAGGGAAGCTCTATGAGAAAAGTTAGAATTAAAAAGTCGATGTTTTCGTGTCATAGCGAAAGATGGGTTATTATTAAAAATAATACTTGCATTAATTGTTGTCACCAATTGTGAAAAATATGGAAAATATCCTCTAGGTTCGCATACCTTTTTTTAATTTTTTTAAGGTGGCTAACAAAATACACAGACAGAAAAGTTTAGATCCTGTTCGTTAATGTAGCGCATAGAAAAAAATTAGAAAAGAGAACGTTTCGTGTATGGCATACGTAGTTAGTACGGAATATTAATCTGAAGGCTTCAAGACAGTGAAAGAGTGATGCGCTTAAGTGTGGTTCAGAGAGGTTATTTGGGCTGTAGAAGTTTTTCTTTGAACAGGGTTCAAATAGCGTCTCCTAGAGCGTTAGCAGAGAAGAGTATTACAGTAATTAGTATAAGCGTCCAGATTTCATTGTTGTTGAGATTGGCATAGAAACACACTTTTATGTAGTAGTAGCAGCAGCTTTAAAGTATATGAGTTTTTAGTTAAGATGCCTTTCGAGTTTGCTTTATGGCTTGATAGGAAATTAAAGGGTAGATACAGATAAGTTACGAAAAAAAGTATGTACACTATTCTCAAAGATCAGCAATAAATAAAAGAAATTGATGAAATAGTAAAGTTGACTGCGATATCTGAAAATCATCAATAAGATAGATAAATTAATTTTGAAAATATTAAATAATAAAAACAAATAATAAAATAGCAAAGAAAATCAAAATCATCAATAAGATAGATAAATTAATTTTGTAAATATTAAATAATAAAAATAAAATTATAATAGCAAAGAAAGCCTACCACGGCCACATACACATAATATTTTCGACATATGAACTTTTCCCAGATAAATAGTCAAATATTTCACGATACCTTAAAACAGAAGCATGCGGAAATATGTATGAAGTTAACGCACGGTAGATGGCTTATTAATTAAAAAGGTATATGGTTTCTAATATCCTACTTTATTAATGAAAATTTTAACCAGGTTTTTGTTTTGCAGATATTATTGCTGGTGCCTGCCAGCTTCCAGTTCCGAGAAAAGAAATCCAACACTTTTCGTCTTTATTTCCCCTGTCCTTTGTGCGCAATAAAAGTACAGTTTGTACCCGCGAGGGTACACATTCGCAGAAGTATGTTTTTAAAATAAATGTTTTGGTCAATATTCACTAGGTGGGGTTACCTTATTAAAGAAAATCTTATTCCAAGAGGGGACACTAGTTTACATTCGAACCGCTAGAGGGTGCAGATGGTCACGCGAACAATATGATCAAGTCTCATTGACGGCATTGCTTTTCTTAAGGGTGGGAAAATATCTGGGCTCTGATTGGCTTCGCCGCCATCGCAAACTAGAGGTGGGGAGATTGATTAAACCCCATTGGTGCTTGCTTATCCAATGGGAGCCAGTTTCAAGGGATTATGGGTAAAGGGGGAGGAGCTAGAGAGTCGTGGGGAAGGAGGACACGCCCACAAAAGGGAGAGGAGTGGGGGAAGCCTATATTGTACTTATTCACTACTGATGTCACTATGGAGGTTGGCCTATAATTGTTTGGATCATTATCTTCTCCCATCTTGAGCACTGGTATTACTCTGCTGACTTAGTTTCTTCGGGAATGTACCCAAAAGAAAACATTTATTAACAATAATTGAAAGACGGACCTATCTTCTTCAAAATTTTATTACTAAGACCAAACACATTTTACTCACTTCTTCTATACTTACTGGACTCAGGAACATTGACACATCATTATGTATATATTTAGTTGTAGCATTGGATGAGCCTAGATCTGTTATTTGTAAGTTAGTGGTGAGGTTATTTGATATGTTTACTAAATAGGAGTTAAATTGTTCTGAAGTAAGCGAACAATTTAATACCTTTCAGTTTTATTTTCTATACTCTTTACAATACCTCATATTTCTTTGGATTTATTTGCACTATTCTTAATTTTCTTAAAGTAAAATTTAGTTTTGGTTATCTTTATTTTATGTTTGTAGTCTTTAGCATATAATACAATGGTTTTTTCTATTTCTGTAGGAGAAAGGGTCGACTTTTTCAGTCTTAAAGCTTCACAAATGAGAAGATCAAAACTATTGTGTCATATTCATATTTTTTTTTTGAGTTGAAGCCTATCGATTAATCCACAATAAATTTATAGCTTTTAAATTGATTAACTAGGGTTTCATAGACATTTTAATTCACGTCTGCCTGATGCAAAGAGGATATCTAAAGAATTGAAAGTTGAAAAGCGGATTTTGTATTCGAATAGCTAAAGTTCTAAAATCATCGGCGGAAAAAAAAATTGTTTTCCTGTGCTCTGAAATAGGAACTATGCGTCCTTTCAGATTCACTCTGGACTTTCGTCCTTATTTCACAGAAATGACGTTATTGTCGTATTTTTATTTTTATTTCTACTATTGTGTTTCTTATTTATTTGAACTGGCGATATTCTATACGCGTAGGGAATAGGAAATAGTTCTATTTGGATTGTAAATAACTCGAGATTGTACCAACTGCATATAAGGTTAATCTCAAATGCGCTCGTTCCGAATCGAGCATCAGTTTTGTGATTTCCGGAAACTTTATAACCCAGTAACGAGATATTAACTAGATTGCGCAACGTAATTACTTGCGATGGTATAGTTAGGCGCTCATTGCCTAATATTTAGGGGCTCGTAGATTTTAATTTATGTGCCGTTTAATTAATAATATTCTCCCGTACGATAAATCCGTTGGCTCAGTTAAATTTTGTAGGTTGAAACTCCACACATTTTGACACTGAACATTTTGCCAATAAGACGTTCAAATTTTTTATTTATTAATTCTATTACGCGACTAATTTTTTTTAGATTTATGAAATTTTGGAAAAAAAAATGTCTATAAGTAACTGAAAGGCTTTTAATTGATTTTTTTTTATAAACCTACTATCTACAATTTGTGTTTTTTTTTCTTGACTTTAATTTCAAATAAATTATGCCTTTGCATACGTCGATACTATTCCCGAAACCCGAAGCTTAGATATTTCGTAATTAATTAAAATAAGTTGAGAAGAAAGAAATTAGCAATTAAAAAATGACTGACACCTTCCTTATTGGGCAACGTCCACACTTTATATGGATATACAGTTCTTGAAAACTAATTAAAACAGTTATGCCGCTTTTTAAAAGTTTATTTTTGATTCTTCTATAAGCCGGTGTAATGTTTCATATTTCATCATGCAGCATTAGAAAATTGCGTTTGGAGCATTTTTTTATCAAGAGTTTAATTTCCTGGCTGCTGCCTTAGCTTACTACTTCTCGGCTAGGAAATGAATCAAATATAATAATATGTTAATAATTTATAGAGAGATATTATTCCTTTTAGCAAATCAAAATTCAAATTTTTCAACAATAGGAATAACGCGCAGGGGTATCATCAGCATCCCAACCACGTTGAGCGTTGAGTACTGTTTTGTCTACAGAAACTTAACACCAACATTATCAGTTCAGTTCATTTTAGCAATTAATCCAACAAAATCCAAAATTTTCAATTTCTAATGTAACACAAAACACGTCAATTTAAAAAAAAAACATGAAGTTGACACGGGGAATGATAAAATTTACTGACGAGCAATAAGATCGAGTTTTAAATTTTTTGTAATATTTTAAAAAATCGATTTAATGCATTTTTGAGGTAATGGGATTTGACTGAAAAAGCTCATTTATGTAATAAAAAAAAATTAAATCCTTATAATTATGGTTCAGGATTTTAGGTATATGATAAAGCATAACTTTGTAGCTTGACAGTTTTAGATCAAAATATAGAGGAAAAAAATTAACCTCCAATTACTCAAAAATTAATAGTACTAACAAACGAAAGGCAAAACATGCAGTTGTGGTTAGTTGGCAGCTAATCATTTTCGTCGGGTTTTAGGAAAATGTTTAATGAACGTTGTTTATATAACTGGGTGGTCGGGTAGGGTTTCTTCAATCATTTGGTGTACATTTGTATCAAAGTTAAATAAACCCTCGCGAAGAATTGAACCAGCGAGTACTAGATTGCGCTGACACTTTTATTTAAATGAAATTACTACAGTTTCGGGTTAAAGTACAGGGTGGGCAATATAAAGTAACCCTATACCTTATCTCAGAATATATAGGGTGTACGAAAAAATCTTAAATACCAAAGTCATTTTTGAAGCGAAGTTTTATTTTATTATATTTTTGCATATACAGGACACTCTGTGTTGTTTGGGTAAATACAACTTCTTTTTTTTTTAATGGAACATTCTGTATATTATTACACTTTTGGATTCTCATTAAGTCTAGGAAAATTTCATATATAATATTTTATATCTATGTCTAATGACTAATTTTTCCTAAAAGGAAATCTTTATTTTTTCATCTGAGTTTAATACCTTGTCGACAAGACCCTACTTTAATAGAATTTCTAAAATATTCTTATAACTAATAATACAGGGTGATCAAAAAATAAGATTAAATACTAAATTAAGAAAACTTCCAAAAACTTCCAAACTAACCACAAATCTTTTTTTTTTTAATGTAAACCCCAAATTTCATAATTTTATCTTATTTACCATTAAAAATAAGGGTAAGTTTGTATAAAATGTTTGAAAATATTTAGTTTTCCAAAGATTGAAAAAATTGCTTTTGGGAACTTTGTTCGTTCTCCTCAAAATACAGCAGAATATCTAATTGTTTTTCTTCAGTAAGGACAGTTCTCGATTTCGTCCTTGTGTTTTTTATGACTGAACCATTTTGTAGGTCACGCACTATTCTATTAAAAATCTGTTTAGTGGGTACTGCTTGCCGGTACTCCCGAAGAGCCAAAGCTGGACATTTTTTATTGTGAATAAAGCATTCATATAACTGTAGGCGCTTTTCAACAGTATATGGAGCCATATTTGCGACAATAATAAAATAAAAACGATGAAATTACATTTTATCGGGAGCCTGTA